TGGAATTTTTAAAAATTATTATTTAGTTGAGCGCTTTCTCTATATTCTTAATACAGAACGTTGTCTTCCATGGGCCCACACCTGCAGCTCTGTTCCAAGGACCACCTCAGGCTAGTGGACCCTGCTCTGTGCAGGCTTTCGCAGAGAGCCTGAAGGGCCTCGGAGGCGGAAGATACCCTGCAGAGTTCCCCACATGACCAGGGAGAGGCTGGGACTTGGTCTAAATTGCACCTGGGCTTCCTCCCCTTCTCTGTCCTGCTTCCCTCTTCCCTTGCTGGCATCTCTCGTGATCGCCTCCTCCACAAATCACTTGCACCTGAATCCTCATCTCCAAGTCTGCTTCTGGGAGAACTTGACCTCAGAAAGAGCCTGGAATGGCTGAGGAACTAAGAGGAAGTCAGCGTTGCCAGGACTCAGGGAACATGGAGATTGGGGAATAAGGTGAGGCTAGAGTGGTGGGTGGAGGCCTGATCACACAGGACTCTGTAGATCCCAGCGAGGGGGTGGGGGTGGGGTACCTGGAGAGCCACAGGATGCCATTGGGCAGTGTTAAGTGGGAACTGACATTATTTACATTTTGCAAAGGTCCCTCTAGTTTCTCTGCGGAGGACAGATGAAAGGGGGCCCACGTGGCTACAGGAAGACTATCCAGGATACTGTTTCAGCTGTCCAGGGGAGAGGATGTGGGCTGCGATGAGGTGGGGAAGGTGGAGGGAGAGACAAGTGGAAGATTAGAGAGAGATTAGGGGGTGGATTTAGGGCCTACAGGGAAGTTCAAGGACACCTTGCGGGTCTCCAGCCTGGGCGCCTGATGGATGGCCAGTGCACAGAGAGGGGCAGGGTTGGGAGGGCAGACAGGAGTTCCACACACAAGATGACACCAGTGTGCCACGCCTGGTCTGGTCCAATCCCCCCATTTCACAAACAAGGAAAGTGAGGCCTGAGGAAGCGCAGTGGTTCACCCAGGGCCCCCCATCATGCCCCAGATGGAGGAGAATGAGACCCCAGGAGTCCTGGCGCCCAGCCAGAGCACTTAGTCTCCAGGGGACCCACTGACTCTGACCTCAAAGAGCTATTTTTCAGCTGGGAGAGGGTGGAGTTTGGAGCCAGACGGCTTTGTCCTGGGCTGGACGCCAGTTCACAGCCCCCAGAGGACAAATCTCTCTGTTTTATGAGGGCGGCCTGTGCCCTGACCCGGCCAGCTGTCCTATCTGGGTCTGGTGCCGGTAACTTGAGGGCATGAGGGGGCGGGGCGCCCGCTTCAGAGGGCTGACAAGATAGAGGCTCATCTGCTCTCCTGGAGTTGGCACTGATCAGAACCGGGTGCAGATTCTGAGGTTTCCCCTTCTCCATCCCTTTTCTTGCGGTGTGACCTTAGGTGAGTCCCCTCCCCTCTCCAGTCTTCAGTCTCCCCATCTATAAAATGGGGACATCCTAGGGTGTGACTTTGGCGCCGTCAGGGTTGTAGTGAATATCGGATGAGGAAATGGAGGGACAGAAGAGCACTTTGTAAACTGTGACGTGCTCAACTCCTATTTGGGCTCAGTCCTACCTCTGCCTCATGCCTCTAGCCAGGGGATTTCTCGGGCTTTGCTCCTTCACCAGACAGCCACCCCTTTGGAGAGGAAAAAGGTCTGGTGTGGAGCTCAGGGATCCCGAGATCTTATCATCCTGGCTCAGCAGGCTTGACAAACCCACTGGACAGTTGGGGAAACGTGAGAGGCAGCCATCTGCTCAAAGTCACCAGGCTGTTAAGCCTGGATGCAAAGGCAGGGCTCTCTGATTCCAAATGAGAAAGATCCTTATCCATCCATGGTCCCCATTGGACAGAGAGGGTAAACTGAGGGCTAGAGAGGGGAAGCAACCTGCCTGGGGTCACACAGGCAGTCAGCAACAGGGCAGATGTGGCACATGAGGTCCCTGACCCCCAGGCCATGCTCCTCCTATCACCTCTAGCCCACCAACCCCTTGAGCTTGAAAAAAGGGCTCCCATCTCAGTGGGACATTCATAGATGTGTCAGTGCCAGACTTGGGGTTCCCTGTCAGCCCCATCTTCTTCCCACCAGAACAGGCTGCATACTTCCCATAAAATCCCACAGAGAGACACTGTACTTCTGCCTCCTCAGAGCAGCCTCTTAGGGGCTGAGGCTTTGCTGATGCAAAGCTTTGTTGTCACTAGTGGGGAACCTCCAGGGAGGCCACAGCACGCCCCCACCATGGGCAAGTTAGGGCAAAAGTCAATAAATCAGGTCTCTTTGGCCTTCGAGAGACAACGTGGGATCCAGAAAACGAATTAGGGAATTCACACGATTCAAAGAGCAAAAACTCTTTGGGAATTTATTGGTGGCCTCTGGAGAAATGTCTTCCGTGACTTGTCAGGAATGAAAGCAGGGGCTGGCCGGGCTGGCGCCAACGTATTTACTAGGTTCCAGGCAGCTTTCCAAGGGCTTTGCATATATTAAATCACTTAATACTTACAGCAAGCCTCTGAAGTCTGATTATTCTCATGTCACGGGTGAGGAACCCGAGGCACAGAGAGGTAGCAGAACTTGGGCAAGGACTCACAGCCTGTGAGGTGTGGGGCCTGGGCAGGAACCTGGTCCATCCGACTCCAGAGCCGCGTGACTGACCACTGTGCAACACTGCTTCGCATGCTATAGGAAATGGGACGTACGTGCTGCCCGAAGGCCCGAGCCCAGCCCAGCCAAGGCCCATGGGTACACGGCAGTGGCCAGGCACAGCAGGACCACTGAGGGGACCAAGCCCGTGGCCACTGCAGAACCAGCAACTAGCCCAGGCTTGTCCGAGGGTGGGTCTGAACTATCAGTGTTGTATGAAGTCCCAGCTCTGCCACTCACTGCGTGGCACTGGGCAAGACACCACCAAACCTCCTGAGTCTCCCTAGGAAAAAGAGAGGAAATCAGTATTGGCTTCACAGGATTGCTGTGAAAAATTTAATGAGCCCTGGGAAGCTTGTAAAGGGCTTAACACCAAGCCAGGACAACAAAAATGCAGAATAAATGTTAGCAATTAATATTATTGTTATTCATTATATTTATATATTTATATTTCATTTTTGCATCCCTTTCTTACCCAGCAGCCGCTGTGAGTAGACAAGTTATTGGGGTTCCATTCTTTCTGGAGACAGAGGGATGCACAAGGTGGCTTTGGGGACCCCTTCCTCCCAAGGATTCTTGGATCATCCACTCCCCCTTGTCAGGCCCCCTCATCCCTAGCAGTAGCTGTAGTCTCTCAGAAGTCTGTTTCCACCCTTGCACTCCAGGTACCCTGGCTCCCTGTCTGTGGTCCCCACTGGCTGGATGCTGTTGCTGTGGCAACAGCATTTTAAGAGCCTTCGGCTCCCCTCCGAGGCAACAGGCATGGATGGAGATGGGCTGATCAAACACTGCCTGCATCCTCAGGCCTGTCTGGACGGAAGGTGGGGGAGTGGAACGCAAGAACCAGAGCTGGCTTGGGTGGGGGCCAGCTCAGACCCCAGCCCCAAATGTTTCCCAACAGCACCCCCACCTCGCGGAGTCAATGGGAAGTACCTGAGCAGTTCGGTACAAATGCAGATTCCAGCCACTCCTGGCCCCAACAGTCTGATTTTAATTATCTGGGGTGGGATCCCCTAGAAAGCTGCCTTTGATCAGCTTTGCTCGTGGTTCTGAGGCAGACAGGCCCCAGACCACACTTGATGAAATCTTGAGTCTTGGAAGGTTCTCGAAGCCGTTGTGGGTGTTGAGGTTTGTGTGGCTGTCTGCTGACTCCTGAGAAACCCTGTTTGTCATTATAAGCCTGTTCCAGTCCTGCCTCCCTCTCTTCCACAGCTTCATTTGTGGGAGGATGTGTGCCTCACCCTCTTCCCAGAGCCAGGAAAATTCCAGGGCTGGGCTGCCAGGTGGCCGTCTCGGTAATGCATCCTACAGCAGAGACGGGGGCACGCACTTTCCAGCATGATGTCATTCAGGGGAGGCACTAGCAGGGTGGTGTGAGAGGCTGGCGGTCTTCTAGACACTCTGAGATCAGACGTGTAAAGGCCTCTTCCTCTCGTCCCCCCGCACCACCTGCTGAATGGGGCCGTGGCTCCCTACCCTCGTCTTGACCCCAACCACCAGCAGAAGCCTTTGATGCTGGGCACCAGAGGCTGTGCCTAAAGAGAGGTGGGGACCTGTGGGAGGAGCGGACAGCAGAGTCCGAGGAGATGTGGTAGGGAGGGGAGGAAGACAGAGAACACCGGAGGGCGAGAGGCTTCTCTCTGGAGTGCAAGGACAAGACTGTGGGGTTCCTTGAATTTGAGACTGATGGCCCGTGCTGGTTGGAGGAGCCCAGTGAGAGAGTAGAGAGGGCAGCAGACATGCTGTCCCCCCTACCCTTCCGGGGGCACCAACTGGCTTCCAGCAGATGATTCTCTTCACCCAAGGCCAATGGCGCCAGTGAATAAATAGCATGCGGTAATTTACTTGACATCAACACCCTTTATTCCCTCCCCAGACTCACTCCCTACACCTCCACCAGTGGTTCCTGGGATCACGGCCAAATAAACATGCCCTTGAACCCTTGTCTCGGGGTCTGTTTCCATGGGACCTAAGACAAGGAGCCACTGCCGAACCTCCCCACCTGTGGTTCTGGATGAGGGCAACCACGCCTCTTGTGCACCAAGGGGAAGCTGTGTATCCCTGCACTCCAGCTGGCCACCTGGCCTGCCTACGACTGAGACCCCTGGGAGGGTCTGCAACAACAGCTCTTTCCACAGTGAGACCGGGGCCTGTGGAGCCGGCCCGTGCTCCACTGCATCCTGCCCTGACCTCACTCTGACTACTCTCCGTGTGTGCGAGTCGGGTCTTCCTCGAGTCTCCTGGAGCCAGGAGCAGGTCCAGGGTCTTGTTCCCCCAGCACAGGCTGAACACACACTGAGTGCTCAGGAGCCACATTGCGATGGGATGGGCCAGGGCTCCCAGCTCCCTCTGCAGCTGGGCCCCACCCCAGCATCCCCTGAGCCTGGTGCAGTGGTGGGGCTCCCAGCTAGAGGGAGGCAGGGGGACTTGTCTGTGGTGAGTCCTCCAGAGACGTCTGCGAGTCTGTCCCCTCTGAGGAGAAGCTGCCCCCAGTGGGGCGGGGGGTCTGATTCTGCCTGGGGAGCTGCTGCCAGGACAAGAGGGCGGCAAGAGATCCCTCAGGGGCAGGATCCAGGGGCTCGTGGGGGCCTTCGCCTTCATCAGCCTCTACAGCCTGGCCGGCTTCCCTGGGCAGAGGGCCCACCTGGAAATTTCTGTTCCGCCCCCCTCTGGGGGCCCAAGGACGCCAATGGGATTTTGGTGAACCGTCCAGGCCCAGTGAGTCCTGGAGGGGCAGGTCCCACCTTCCCTTGGAAGTGACTTCTGCATTCAGACCCTGGCCCTGGGCAGCTGTCCCTCTCAGTTCCAAGTGGGCAGTGGGACCTGCTGGGCACGGACAGTGGGCCAATGCCTTCTTCAGGAGGGTCTGGATCTCGAGTCTCGCCCAGGCCTCCTCCCACAGGTCCCGGCCCAGGCCTTCCTGGCTCAGGGAGGCCACCTGCAGCCCCATGGCCGTGAGCTTCTCAGCAGGGAACTCGGACGCCAGTCGCTGCAGGTAGCGGCGGAGGCGGCGCTGGTCCCCAGGGCTGGCCCTCTGAGCCTTGCCCAGCCTGAGCTGGGTCATCAGGTCCTGACAGTCCATGTGGAACCAGGTCATCTGGGAGACGAGAAGAGAGGGAGGTGGGGGCTCAGGTCAGGGGTGGGCTGTGGGGCTCCGTGAGGACAGGGATGTGCCTCGGAGCAGAGAGAGGACTCAGAGAATGAGTATTGCTGGATGGAGTTAATAACAAGTGCCCAAGCAATGTCAGGGGCCCCTCAGCGTGGCCGTGATTTCCTCCGCTGACAGTGACATTGGGTTCCCTCTCTTCCCGGGGCACACATCTGCCAGCAGGAAACCGTCCCCAGCACCCTTGGGGTGCTGGGATCTTCTGGCACCATCTAACAGACCTAGGGGCCAGCAAGGACTTACCCCTCTCTGGCGCTCAGTTTCTTCTGTGAAACGGGAGGTTGCACTAGATGATCACGGAAAGCCTTTTGAGCAGTGAAAGTGTGGATTCTGGATTGTACGAACCCCTTATGGGTGGTGCCGAGGGAGGGGTCCAGCTAACGTTTATTTGCCAGGCTCTGTGTGTCTCATGCACAATCACGTGAAACTGTACCTGCAGCCCAGGCTACAGAGGAGGAAACTGAGGCTCAGAGCCATGAGGAGCTGGGACTTGAACTCAGATCTGTCTGACTTTTGAGAGAGGATCTTTCAAGCAACTCCTCGCACAGGAGAAACTGGCCCAGGCAGGGTCGTGCTCCTGCAGTCACCAGCGACAGTCAGCCACCCAGGCCCTGAGGCCCCTCACTCCAGCCCCTGTGCCCCATTTTGGGATTCTGCCTGTCCCCAGGTCACCCACAAAACGTCTGCAGGCTACAAAGGAGTCAACACGTTCCCAGCAGCTTGTAAAAAACATAATCTTTCTCTCCATTAATTTAGGAGCCGACAGCGAGCTGTTAGGCTGTGGGATTGGAGAATCATTTTCTCTGAGGAAACCATCTTTCCGCGGATTAAGGGAATTGTCTTGAGATAAATGGCTTCATATTTGAGGAAGCACATGGAGCTCATGGCTGGGAAAGGGCTCCATAAATCTCCGTGAGCGGCACAATCGTGTTATTATTATTTAGTGCCAAAGCTGCTGCCCACGTGCCCTCCGCCAGGGGCTGAGCCCAGCGCTGGGCTGTCCTGTCTGTGTGTGTGTCTGGGACTCGATCTTCCAAGCCAAGCTAGACAGAGATGGACAGCACCTCAGAAATCATCTTGCCCAACCCCCTGCTGTGCGGATTAAAATTCCGGGCTGGAGAGGAGAAGGGGCCTGCCTGGGGCAAACAGCGGGAGATGGCCACGGTGGGCCTCAGGGTCGGCCTGCCACCTCCTGCGCCATTTCTAGGTGTGGGTCAGACTCCACCTTCTCACACGCACCCCAGCCTGCCTTCCTCTCCTAACGCCTCCTCTTCCTCCCTTCACTGGGCCAGTCATCCGCAGCTTTACTGAGCCTCCCTGGGCGCCGGCCCCGTGCCGGGCACTGTGGACAGGACCAGGACCCGTCAGCCCCTGCTGCTGCCTCGGGGAGCTCACCCCACAGGTGACAGAGAAGGGACAAGCAAGTGATGAAGCAGCAGCACAGTTTCAGATCACAAAGGGCACCAGGAAGTGATAAACACAGGGCGATAAGAGAGAGTGGGGGCAGGCACTGCTGTCAGCTCCGGGAGGAGGGGACCTGCGAGCCGAGCACTGAAGACAGACAAGAAGCCAGCCGCTAGCAGGGAAGAGCGTTCCCGGTTGAGGGAACAGCAAGTGCAAAGCCCCCAATGGGGCTGCAATTAGTAAGCAAGGTAGAGAAGCTTCCGGTCACCCTTAGCCCATGAGGCATTACCAGCACTCCCACTACTACTACTGATAATAATGATATGGATGTCAATAATAATAATTCCAAATTTGAGCAAAGCCAGGGGTTACTTACATGTAAATTAATTCTCTCCCTACCTGGCAAGGCTGCACAGAGCCAGATGATCTGGGTTTGAATCTCAGCTCTGCCACTTCCTGGCTGTGTGACCCTGGGTGAGTTATTTGACCTCTCTGTGTTTCCTCGTGTGTAAAATGGGCATAATAAACCCTGCCTCATAGGGTTGACGTGACAAAATGATATGTGAAATGACTGGAACAGGGCCCGGTGCATAATAAGAGCTCTGTAAGCACTGGTTCTTATTATTATCATTATCGTTGTTATTGATGAGGAGCCGAGGCCCAGAGCAGTGAGGACTGTGGTTGAGGTCACACAGCCCCTGCAGGCACAAGTCACCCTTGACTCTAAGTCTCACATCTGGCCACTGCCTCGCTCTCCGCTGTACCACTGGGAGTGGGGGATCCTCCACTGTCACTGCCCACATCTGTCCCCTTTGCCCGCCACCCCAGAGAGATAGAAAGTGGCTTGTCCTTCCACCGCCCCAGGCGTGAGCTGACCGGGGTCCCTCCCGCTGCCCTCTGAAGCCTCCTGTGTTCTCTGTCCCCTGTGTGCTGGGTCAGGCTCTTCCCATGCTCTTTCCTCAGTGGCGAGTGTGAGGGGCAGCTGAGGGCACTGGGCCAGGGCCAGAGACGTGGGTTCTTGCCCCGGCTGGGTTACAGCTCTCATAGGCCGCTCCCTGGTCCCTCTAGGCCTCAGTTTCCCCATCGGAAAAATGAGGAGTTTGAGCCACATGGGTTTAGGAAGGGTGGGGGCTCTTCAGTGAAATCTTGCAGGACCACAGACTCTCTGGGGAACCTCCTGCGAACCACTTTCCTCTTGGGGCCTCAGTTTCCTCATCTGTAAAATGGAAACCATGTTGGCACCCCTCCCTCACAAAGATATGGTGAGAATTAAGTCAGGCAAGGTTTGTGAAGCGCTTATAGGAGGGCCTGCCATGGAGGACACAGTCGATACATGGGCTGCCCTCACAAAAGTCACGTAACCTTCACCATCCCCATGCTGCTCGGACATGGGAATTGGCTGCCATCCCCCCTAACCTCTGGAGAAAAATATAGGGCATGTTATGGGGCATGGACACATCTGTGTTCAACTCCCAGCTCTCTGTGTGGCCTTGGGCAATGTCCTTCCCATCTCTGGGCCTCAGTTTCCGCATCTGTAGAATAGGGCTGATCAACCTCGCCACGCTGGGTTGCCGGGAGACAGAGGATGCAAAGTAATGCAGTTCCTCCTGCCTCTCCCTCCAACTCTGCGCTCACCCCTCACATACACACACAGTAGTGCTACCCCCTCCTCCTGCCTCCTGGCCAAACTCTGGGTTCCCACGAAGAGTGAGGCCTCTGTTCTGAGGGTGCTCAGAGCAGCCTCTGGGCCCACCCTCAGCCCACTGTGCCCTCCTTCCCCAGCTCCCCCACCCTGTGCAGGGCAAGGTGAGGACGGGAAAGAGCACTCGCATGGTGCCATGGGCTTGCTGTGTGACCTTGTCAAAGTGACAGCCCTTCTCTGATCCTTTTTCCCCAACCCCGCAACAGCTGGGCGGGACGAGATCAAGGTTCTTAGCCTGGTCTTGACCCCTGAAGTTGCCACAGAGATCTGTGTGTGGAAAGCAAGTCCACGGCTTTCATCGGATCCTAAGAAATCCCCAGGCTCCTTCCCCTAACTCCAAAGTTTAAGACGCAGGTGATTCCTGAGGGTCCACTGAGGGCTGAAATCTGGGTCACTGGGAGGCTGCCTGGTCAAGCTGGGGTCAGGGGTCAGCCGGACCTGGTTAGGAGGCTGACTTAACCTCTCAAACCTTGTTTCCCTTCTGGAAAATGCGGGTAATGCCTTCTCCCCCTCACGGGACTGTGGGAATGAACCATGCAACGAGCAGAGGGCCGTGTCCAGGCCGCTCCCTGCCCCCACCCCGCCCCGCGGAGCCCGTGGGGGTGGGGTGTCTGTGCAGGTGCGCCACGAGGCTCACCTTCCTGCAGAAGCGGCGCAGGTGCAGCAGCGTCTCCAGGTCTGTGCGCTGCCGCTCGGCCGCCATGTAGAAGTGGGTCAGCTTGGCCTGGAAGGCCCGCTGGGTGGCGGCGAAGGCTGTCAGCTCCGGGAACTCTGGTCCCGCTGCCTCTCCCGCCCCTCCAGCGGCAGCTCCCAGCTGGGCCGCCTGCTTGGACAGCTCCAGGCCGCGGCGGTACTGGGCCTGAGTGGGGAGGGGGGTGTCCACTCAGCTCCCACCTCAGCCGAGGCCTCCCCCAGAGGTCAGGAACCGCCCGCTGCCCCGCTGCTGAGTTATGAGACTTCTGAGCCTCAGTTTCCCCATTTACAATGGGGACCCAGGCCTTTGCCCAGGCTGTTCACTTTCTCTAGCTGGGACTCTGCTTAGTTTCACTTCTTTCTGAAAACTCCCCTGACCCCAAAGTCTTCCTGTCCCCACAGCTCTCCCCTTGTTTCCCTGTTTGTCCCCCGCCCCCATCCCCCACTGGCCTGGGAGTCCCCTGAGGGCTGAAATGGAAGCTGAACCACCGTGTCCCAGGGCCCAACATGTCAAGGATGCAGATTCCCTGCCCCTGGTCCATGAGGCTGACTTAACAGGTCCAGGGTGGGACCCTGGAATCTGCATTTTAAGAAGCCCTCCAGAGACTCTGAGATTGGTCATCTTTGGACATGGTGGTCCAGGAAGGCTTCCTGGAGGAGGTCACATGTAAGCTGAACCCTCTGTGATCCAAGCTGGTCTCCTCGCTGTCTCTGGAAGCTTCCTCGCACTTTCCCACCTCTGCAGTGCCGTCCTAGCCAGCCGCCCTCTCCACTGCCCCCTCTACACCCCCTCCATCTGCTCCAGTCCTGCTCCTCAGTCTCAGGAACACACTGCAGCCTGCAGGAAGAAGTCCTCAAACTCGGCGTGGGCTTTCTCCACCATCTCCAAGCTTCCGTCCTGGGGGGTCAGCGCACGCAGGCACCGGCCTCCTTCCTGCTCCATCCAGTGGCTGACCTGGGGTGGGGGAGAGGGGTTTGGACATGAGGGGGCTGCTGGGAGACGTCCCTGGCCAGCTCCCTGCCTTCCGGGGAGGCTGGGGTCTTCTTGTCTCAGTCACTCCGTGGCTGGGCCTGCGCCATTGGCCTGGACGGAAACCCTCCCAGGTCTGGGGGAGAAGAGACAACCTGGGGAGGGCTCTGTCACGTTCTTCAAATATCCAAACGGGAGAGGGCTCCCCGAGTGGACCCCCGGGGGCACCTGGCCTGGCCAGCAAGCGCCCCGCACACAGTAGGCCTTCAGTGCACGCTTGCCTGAATGAGTCACAGGAGGCAAATTTCAGCTCACTCTACCCACTCAGTGCCACCAATCATAAAAGGGGCAGCCTCAGGAGTGATGAGCTCTTCGTCCCTGGGGGCGTGCAAACAGGGTTGGAGAAAAGCTGCCCGCTATAGAGGAAGGTGCATGGGCCTGCCATGAACTCACCGTGAACTGGGCAAGCCACTTCCCCTTTCTGGGCCTCAGTTCATTCAGTGGCAAAATGGGGTAGACGTGAGGGTTCAGTGAGGGACAGACGGTGCAAAACAGCTCTTGACCCACGAGCAGAAGTCCCTTCTTGTTCTGGGCTCTCTCTTACAGAGCGTGTATTCACTCACTTCATCCTCACAAAGCCCAGTGTGGCGGGCACTAATATTATCCCCCATTTAACAGGTGAGGAAACCGAGGCACCGAATAGTCAAATTACTTGTCTACGGTCACACTACCAGCAAGTGCCGGAGCCAAGACCAGAACCGGGCCACTTGGCTCCAGAGCGCACCGTGCTCCACAGGCCCAACAGGAAGGGATGCGCTGTTCTAGGCATCAGACAAGTGGTGCCAGGTGTGGCTCCAAGATCAGGCCCCCAGGTGTGCGGCCCTGGCAGGTGACGTCATGAAGGTCTCCGGCCCTGGTTTTCTCATCTGGGAGTAGGGGAAATCCTGGCACCTTCCCCACATTGCTGGTAAGGGAGGGCTGGAAAGCGATGATGTACACATCATCTGAGATTTGAACCCAGATCTGTTCAGCAAAGGCGCTGGCCCAGCCTCGGTACACAGTTGGTATTCAATAAGTGCAGCTTTGCGTGAGGTCTTTTTTTTTTTTTGTGAGGAAGATCAGCCCTGAGCTAACATCCATGCTAATCCTCCTCTCTTTTTTTGCTGAGGAAGACTGGCCCTGGGCTAACATCTGTGCCTATCTTCCTCCACTTCATATGGGATGCGGCCACAGCATGGCTTGACAAGCGGTGCCTCAGTGTGCACCCGGGATCCGAACCCAGGCCGCCAGCAGCGGAGTGTGCGCACTTAACCACTACGCCACGGGGCCGGCCCTGGGGTTAGGTCTTTACCCATGAAGCACTTATTGAGAGTCACGTCATGTGCCATGTCCCAAGGATGCCTGCCTGGCCCTTGGAGAACTGCCAACCTCGTGTCCTGACACCAGAGCAAAGTGCCTGGCTGGGGCACGGCCTGGAGCAGGGCCTTTCCTGTGGAGGGTGGCCAGGCAGAAGCCCCGCCTCCCCCAGGCAGGCCTCTCCTCTCACCTGGCGGATGGCAGCTTCCAGGTGGCCCAGGCGGACGCGGAGCTCCAGCCTCCCCAGGAGGTGGTTGGACGCAGTGACCAGGACATGCAGCTGCTCGTCCATGAGGCTGTACAGAGCGGCGGCTTCAGCCAGATGGTTCCTGGGAGGTGGAGGAGGGAGAGAGGAGGCCTAAGATGTGTCCCTCCCAGTACTCCTGCCCAGCAGAGGCCTGCCCCCCAACTCCCACCAACTCTGTGGCCCCGGCCTGGGTATTCCAGCTGATGACTTGCTGTGTGACTTTGGATAGGTCCCTACACCTCTCTGGGCCTCAGCCTTGGCCTTCCATGGCTTTTGGAGGACCAGAGGACACAGCAGGAAACCAAATGACCCTTCTTTCCCTAGGAGTGTATTAACTGAGCTGGACAGATCTGCGTTCAAATCTCAGCCCTGCTATCTTCTAATGATGAGGCCTCGTGCAAATTTCTCAACGTTTCTGTGTCTCCATTTTTTTCATCTGTAAAAAGTGGGATAACAGAACCCACTTCACAGAGTGGGTTTAAATGATTAAATGATCTTTTTTTTTTTAAAGATTTTATTTATTTATTTTTCCCCCAAAGCCCCAGTACATAGTTGTCTGTCATAGCTGCACATCCTTCTAGTTGCTGTATGTGGGACGCGGCCTCAGCATGGCTGGAG